TTAAAATGTAAAACACACACACACACACACATATATATATATATATATATATATATATATATATATAGAGAGAGAGAGAGAGAGAGATATATACACATTTTTCTTTACATTTTTGATAACGTTTTAGAAACTATACAATTCTACTCCATTTTCCTGCAATGCTATAAACATGCAGCTTTAAAATTTGTGTTACTTTAATTCAGAGATGAGGTCAGGCAGAGAGTTCATCTATCGGTCACCAAACTGAGAAATATGTGGTATTATGGAATTAAAATGGGTTACGTACTACATTTCATGAGTATTTGTGACCCTGGAGCACAAATAAGTAGCACAGGTATATTTGTAGCAATAGCCAACAATACATTGTATGGGTCAAAATTATCAATTTTTCTTTTAGGCAGTGCGCTGCATGAGACAAAAAAGTAAAATAGCCAAAACAACCGCATAGCCGCTCTTTAGTGTAGATGCATGTTGATTTTATCAGACGATGCCGCGATTATAAATGAGAGTGACTCCTGGTTAACATGTATTAAAAGGGGTCGTGTTTAGTCACTATTTAGTGTGGTATTTTTTGACAATATTCACTCATCATGACAGTAAAATAGGGCATTCTAAGTCAATATACTGCAGTATTTCCTCTCAATCAGTAGAAAATATGGTTAACACCCGGTCATGCATGAAAAAAAATACCGTCATGTACCGTGAAACCGGTATAATTTGGAAAAATACCGTGATATAAATTTTTGGTCATACCGCCCAGCACTAGCATAAATATATCAAAACTTAATTTTTGATTAGTAATATGCATTGCTAAGAACTTCATTTGGACAACTTTAAAGATGATTTTCTCAATATTTAGATTTTTTTGCACCCTCAGATTCCAGATTTTCAAATAGTTGTCTCTCAGCCAAATATTGTCCTATCCTAACAAACCATACATCAATGGAAAGCTTATTCATTCAGCTTTCAGATGATGCGTAAATCTCGGTTTCAAAAAATATACCCTTATGACTGGTTTTGTGCTCCAGGGTCACATTTCAGAACACTCTTGCTGGTATTGAGGTATTAAGGTATTGAGCTGGTATCAGACTCGATCTCAAGCTCTGTGTCTGAAGACAGAGGCGAGAGTGAAACTAGCCGAGCGATCGCGTGTCGTACCTCTCTGTCCCGCCGGTCACTTCCTGTCTGTGTTTTGGCGGGATTCTTCAGCTGCTGCTCCAGGTTGTGAATCTCCTGCTGAAAGACGTCTCGCTCGTGTTCCCTGTCCGCTGCCTGCTCCTGATGGACAGAAGGACAGAAACACTCAGACCATGTGACACGCTTAGCATGCTACCACGCTAAACCACACAAAAACATCTGCTGAGCTTCATGTGTTCAAATATAATACTGTCTGACTGATGTGGGTTTTGCGATTGCTGGTTAGGAAAAAAACATTAAATGAACGTGGAAGAGAAGCAATTAATCGCTAATTGCTTTCATCACATCATTATGGAAGCTTATTTCCGCTATGGAATAAAAAAAAACAAATTAAAAATTAAGAAGGTAATTGCGACTCATGTTGACTTTTTATCTCACAATTCAGACTTATTTTTCCCCCCACAATTCTGAGTTTACATTTCACAATTCAGACTGAGAAAAGAAGTCAAAATTGTGAGAAATAAACTCAGAACTGCAAAAAAAAGTCAGAATTGTAAGTCGCTTTGAGTGAAATCGTCTGCTAAATAACTAAATATAAATGTAAACGTAAGAATTTAGAAAAAAAGTTAAGAAATTGATTATGAAATTATGAGAAAAAGTCAGAATTACACAAACTCAGAACTGCAAGAAAAATAAAATTGCGCAAAATAAACTCAGATACAAACTCAGAACTGTGGGACACGAACTCAGAACTGCGGGACAGGAACTCAGAACTGCGGGACAGGAACTCAGAACTGCGAACTCAGAACTGCGAACTCAGAACTGCGAACTCAGAACTGCGGGACACGAACTCAGAACTCAGAACTGCGAACTCAGAACTGCGAACTCAGAACTGCGAACTCAGAACTGCGAACTCAGAACTGCGAACTCAGAACTGCGAACTCAGAACTGCGAACTCAGAACTGCGAACTCAGAACTGCGAACTCAGAACTGCGAACTCAGAACTGCGAACTCAGAACTGCGAACTCAGAACTGCGAACTCAGAACTGCGGGACACAAACTCAGAACGGCGGGACACGAACTCAGAACTGTGGGACAGGAACTCAGAACTGCGGGACACGAACTCAGAACTGCGAACTCAGAACTGCGGGACACAAACTCAGAACGGCGGGGCACGAACTCAGAACTGCGGGACACGAACTCAGAACTGCGAACTCAGAACGGCGGGACACGAACTCAGAACTGCGGGACAGGAACTCAGAACTGCGGGACAGGAACTCAGAACTGCGGGACAGGAACTCAGAACTGCGGGACAGGAACTCAGAACTGCGGGACAGGAACTCAGAACTGCGGGACAGGAACTCAGAACGGCGGGACACGAACTCAGAACTGTGGGACAGGAACTCAGAACTGCGGGACACGAACTCAGAACTGCGGCTTCACCTGCTTCAGCAGCTCGCCGCTCTCCTTCTGCGCCTGATGCTGCACCTCCACCTTCTCCGCCATCAGCTTCTCCGTCTCCTCCAGCAGGTCTGAGGACAGCAGACGCTCGTTAGCAGAGCCCACGCCAGGACTGACGCTCAGCGGATGACAAAACATGGAGCAGCTTCAGAGACTCATTCACAATGTCAAAGACTGTCAAAATCGAATTAAATCTCAACTTTAAAGAAAGATTATGTTCTCAGCGCATTATAAACGGCTGCTGTAGTCTTGATGGACTTTAATAAACTGCAAACTGCAAACTTAATTTATAGGAAATAAACTGCTCGGTAAAAGGAATCTCATGAATTTTCTCAACAACATGTTCAGATCATTTTAATCACAAAACCAAAAGAAACAGAAGAAATCACATTTTGGTACATTTTTTGAGGAAAATGCGCTTAATTTTCCTGACATTTTCAAAAATACAAATACATTTTGTTGTTATTGTTAACTAAAACTACAGCTAAAACTATTAAAAGTTGTTTTCGCTAATTTAAATAAAGATTAAATTAAATATAAATATTAGATGAAAAACTTTAACGTTAATTATAAACGTTGCTTTGACAAGCAACTGAATTAAGTTAAAGTACTGAAATTACTAAAACTACAAATAAATTAAATATAAATATAAAAAATGTAAAATGGCAAGCTCCTACTGAAATTTTAACTAAAATTAAAATTAAAAATTTACATATAAAAACAAGCTGAAACAAAAAAATATAAAATATAAACATTAGATAAAACTTAATGTTCCCTTGGCAACTTTTCTCAAATAAAACAAGTTTAACTTGAAATACTAAACTTACCAAAACTGAAATAAAAATAAACTAAAGCTAAAAACGAATAAAAATACTAAAATTTAAACTAAATTTGCAAAGAAAATTGAAAATATAAAAACGAAAGCTAATTCAAAATATTTAAAAATACTATAATAGTATATAAACAGTATAGTATATATTTAATTTTCTTTATGCAAAATGTAATTTCTTTTGTTCTTTTGATTTTGTGATGATCACGACATGTTTTTGTAAACGTTCTCTGCTGTTCTCCAGTTTTGTCTCCGGCTGCATACGGCACATCGGCGAGACAGATTTCCCATTTCCCACAATCCTTCCCATTCCTGTACGATCCATGATCACATGATCCCATCAGCAACCACCGAACCAACCCACAGTGCAGGAGAGGACGAGGGGCGGAGCCTGTGATGTCACGGGAGGGGGAGGGGTTAAAGTGCAGATGCAAAACAGAAAGGAAAGGAAAAATAAACCTGTGTCTTATTGAACAGCCATCAGCTGAGGACAAACCACAGTCTAGTTCAGACACAGTTTCTCTTACATTTAATGAAGTAAATTGAGTTAAATAAGGCATTGGCACATTTAAAATCCTCACTGAAAATGATCAAATATTTACCATTACAATTTTTAGCATTAACATACAATGAGTTATCTTTTTATGTCAATATGTCTCTGTATAGCAAACTCTGAGCTTAAGAAAGTACTTTTTAAAAATATATTACTTTTATTATTATTACTACTACTATTATTATTATCGTCACTGTTATTTTATTATCAATATACTACTTTTTTGATTTTATTTTTATATTTTGTTTCCACTTTAATTTTAAAGTTGTGTGTTTTGTCAATTTCATTACTTTTTTATAAGTCTATATATAGATTTACAAATTTTATGTATTTAATGTTTTTTATTTTATCAAGCCAAACAAAATGAGAATTGTTGCCTTGGCAACTAGAAATAAAAAGTTTATTTGTATATATTTTATTTCAGTTAATATTTATTTGATTTTATTAAACTAAAAAAAGAACAGAAATGTTACTTTGGCAACTAGCGGAAATAAAATTAAGTTTATTTTTTTATATTTTATTTTATTTCAGTTAATTTAATTTAATTTTGTTTTATAAAATCTACTTCGAAATATCAACAAAAACTATAATAGTATATCATTGGTAACAAAAAAAAACAGAAAATAACAAGTAACTTTTAATTGCGTTAGTTGTAGTTTACTGTATTAACCCTATTTATTGTTTATAATTATATATTACACATTAAAAGTATTATGTATTAACTTTTTTGAAAATTCCAGGTGAGATACCACAGTCCTGAAGCCCAATCCAGCACATAAGCTGTTGTAGGCTGATGCTGAGACGGCTGTTCAATAGCAGCTAGCCGCGGTTAACCCATGCTAGCGTGTGTTTCCAGCAGATATCATGTGATGTGATGTGATGAGCTCAAGCAGTGGTTAGTCCATCAGTGGAGCCAAAAGCAAGCAAAGCTCTGTTATTGATCAGCGCATGCCTGTCAATCAATCGATCGATCAATCAGAGACCGTGATACACAGCGTGCCGGCCATGCCGCTCGTGAACACACACACTCTCACACACACACACACACACCTGCTTCAGGTGCTGCGTCAAGAGCAGCCTCAACTAGTCCTGAGGAAAGAGAGTGAAAACAACACATTCATCATGCAAATACAGGAGGAAAGAAGACAGAAACATGAAGAAGGACACGATCCGCAGCTGCACACGTGTGTGTGTGTGTGTGTGTGTGAGAGTGAGTGAGTGAGTGAGTGAAAAATGAAAATAAAATAAAAATAATAAAATAAAATAAAACATATTTGATTAAAAAATTTAACTTAAACTAAAATTAAAAATGGTTCCTTGGTTACTAACTGAAATGAACTAAAACTAAAAAAAAACTAAAATCGAAGTATAAAAAAATGCTACAAATTACACTAAATTGAAACTAAAATTCTAAAAACAGCTAAATTAAATACTATCATAGTATATAATTACTTATATTATTTAGTATACAATTCTTAAATACTATAATAGTAAATAAACAATACTAATATAACAATAAATAGAAGTATTAAAAATATATATTAAATTACACTAAATTGAAAATAATATTAAAACAAATTCTAAAAACAGCTTAATATAAAATTACTGATTATTATAGTATTTAATATAAAATTTTTAGATACTATAATAGTATATAAACAATGCTAATATAACAATAGAAGTATTAAAATATATATATATTAAAAATTACACAAAATTGAAAATAAAACAAAACTAAAATAAAAAAACTAAATCAAATTAAATACTATGATACTATATAATTACTTAGTATTATAGCATTTAATTATACTATTCTTAAATACTACAATAGTATTTAAACAATACTAAAATAACACTACTTAAGTGTCATAAAAATAATGAAAATAATAAAAATCAACCAAATTTAATCATCTTTATGCAACATATAATTTGTTATTTTGTGCTGATTTTGCCATGACAGGCCTTGAGAATGAATACTGATTCAACCTATAAAGAAATAAATCAATCAATCATGAGTTAATCATACTGCAGAAGCTCTGATGTTACCCATGAACACCTTCAGCTAATCAGTTATTATTGAGACATTTGCTGCGTACCAATTCGCCTACTTATACTATGCCCTAAAAGTAAGTCCTCTATTTGTGAAGAAAAAGTACATACTTTTGAGTATGTAGCAGAATAGTAGGCAAGCTTTGGCACAGACTACTTCGTCATAACTGCGTCTTTAACGAACGCTCTGTTGCTTAGTTACGTGCATTCTGTCATCATTTAAACTGCATTGCAATTATCACAGTAAGGGTTGCACCAACTAATCGACTTCAATGCTCTGCCATGACGCTTTAAGCTTGACGTCGACTAGTCGCTGGTCCTATAGAGGGCGCAACAGGATAAGAAATCTTTGAAGGACTTCCACATTTACGCTCAGTTTCCAAACAGTTCAAATGACAAATAAATGCATAGTTTTAAACACTTTTTATGTGTGTCTGTAGTAGGGGTTGCACCGACTAACCGACTAATCGACTAGTCGACTTCAATGCTCTGCCATGACGCTTTAAGCTTGACGTCGACTAGTCGCTGGTCCTATAGAGGGCGCAACAGGATAAGAAATCTTTGAAGGACTTCCACATTTACGCCCCGTTTCCAAACAGTTCAAATGACAAATAAATGCATAGTTAAAATGACAAATAAATGCATAGTTTTTAAACACTTTTTATGAGTGTTTGTAGACTAGCCGCTGGTCCTATAGAGGGCGCTTCAGAATAAGAAATCTTTGAAGGACTTCCACATTTACGCTCAGTTTCCAAACAGTTAACGCTTTAGGCGCCAGGGGAGGGCGCTACAGGATAAGAAATCTTTGAAGGACTTCCACATTTACGCTCAGTTTCCAAACAGTTAAAATGACAAATAAATGCATAGTTTTTAAACAATTTTTATGCGTGTTTGTAGACTAGTCGCTGGTCCTATAGAGGGCGCTACAGGATAAGAAATCTTTGAAGGACTTCCACATTTACGCTCAGTTTCCAAACAGTTAAAATGACAAATAAATGCATAGTTTTTAAACACTTTTTATGCGTGTTTGTAGACTAGCCGCTGGTCCTATAGAGGGTGCAACAGGATAAGAAATCTTTGAAGGACTTCCACATTTACACTCAGTTTCCAAACAGTTAAAATGATAAATAAATGCATAGTTTTTAAACACGTTTTATGCGTGTTTGTAGTTCTAATCGAATCCTGGTCCACCGCGCAATGTGTTGTGGGTAATATTAGCCATCGATCTGCACTTCGAATTTTAATCTCAAGTAGTAGACCATCCGGGAATCTTTGGAATCAACATATTATGCTTTGGGACATACTAATTCTATTTTCGAGTACTATTTAGGAAAAACAGACAGTATGCGAATTGGGACGCAGCAAGTGTTTCTCTGAAATGTAAACCAATGGAATGGCAGTGAGTGTGAGTCATGTGACATACGCAGCTCTCGAGGCCCCGCCCCTTCTCTCATGGCATCCTGCTGGCGCGACAGCAGCTCGTGCTCGTGGTGAATCTGCTGGCGCTCCTGCTCGAGTTCACGCAGACGGCTAGCGGTCGCCATCAGCTCCTGCTCCAGATGCAGCTGCAGCTCGGCGCGCTCGCGGATCTGCTGCTCCAGCGCCAGGCGCTCGCCGGTGTAGCCGTCAATCAAACCTGCAGCACAAACACATGCTGACTACTGCTGTGGCACTTACACTCTGATTGCTGTGGCATACATGAAGCTCAACAGTTTTGGCTGAAAAAAAAAAAAAAAGAATAAAACAAATATAACATTGCTATTATTAATATTATTAAATAAAGATTTAAAACAACATATAAATTAATAATATTATTATAAATTAATTATGAATAAATACATTTATTATTATTATTATTATTATTAAACAATACAGATTTAAAACAACAAATGAATATCATAAATGAATTATAAATAAATAAAAATATTAATAATAATAATAATTAAATACATTATTATTATTACTATTATTATTTTTATAATTAAATGTTTAAAACAAATTTTCGGGTAAACAAATAAAATAAACAAAAAAATGACTATATTGTTTATTATTATTTATTATAAATATTATATATTATTATTATTATTAAATATATTAATCCACAAAACATTGTTATTGTTATTATTATTATTAATATTAATAATAATTAGATCAATAATAACAATAATAATAATAATGAGTAAATGTGAGTGACTGATTTTTGGTGAGTAAAAGTCTTTATTTGCAAGCTTGAGTTAATGTTTGTTTTCGTGTGATGTAATTTTGGA